TCCTAATTAGAAAATCCCCAAATTTCCTAGATAACAATCCATAAATTCTCCAGTCACGAAATCCCCAAATTCCCTAGGTACCAAATCCCTTAATTCCCCAATTACCAAATCCCCAAATTCCCTAGGTACCAATCCTTAAATTCTCCAGTCACCAAATCCCCAAATTCCCTAGGTACCAAATCCCTTAATTTCCCAATTACTAAATCCCCAAATTCCCTAGGTACCAATCCCTAAATTCTCCAGTCACCAAATCCCCAAATTTCCTAGTTACCAAATCCCTTAATTCCCCAATTACCAAATCTCCTAATTCCCTAGGTACCAAATCCCTAAATTCCTCAATTACCAAATCCCCAAATTTTTTAATTATTAATTCCCCAGTCACCAATTCCCCGAATTCCCCAATTACCAACTCCCCAAATTCACCCTAAATAAATATTCCCAATACACTAAAATTTCAATAACCTCACCAATCAAGAATCTACCTATTCAAATTACTCAAAATCGAAGAAAACGTCCCTAACAATCATACCAACAAAAATCCCAGTACACCGCTCAGAAATAAAAGCAAAAAATATAGAACGTGCACCGACGACGGAACAGATCGATAAAGAGAGAATAAAAAGAGAGGGTGGACGTTGGTATCGGAAAACAAGAGCAAATGGTGAGCAGGGCCGCAGCCATACAAAGGAGCCAGAACAAACCGTACACCCTTCGAAGCCATAAAATCCAAAACTTCTTGCCGCCACCACAAAAGCTTTACTTTTATGTTAACGAGGGGCAAATTATCGGAAAAGAGGTCTGCCGGCGTAGCAGGCTGCCATATAGTAACAGAGGTTCGCAGGACCACTTTCTCTTGGTCGCACTTTCACCAACTATCGACTTTCTCGTTCCCTGACGCCACCACGAAACCTCACCGACTATGTTTACGATTATCGTGAAACGATATCGTTGCACCGTTCGAGATACGAGGTTGACGGTAGTTCGATGAAAACCGAACACCGACTGATTGAGGGTATCGAGAGTGCGGCCCTGATCGATTATTCACCCCTTCCTTATAGCTTCATCCCTTACCACCTGCTCGATCGACTACTCGCATGCAGTTATTTCATTTTAAAGAACGGGTATCGAACGGTTATATGCAATCGATTTTGAGGTATTTTGGAAATTTTAGTGGGGTTAGGTTAAGTATTAAGTCTTTGATATTTGAGTTGTATTAATTATGTAATTTGGTTCGTTGGAGAGTTATGATTGATTTATCTTTGAATTTTTATTTTTATTGGTAATAACAGTGGGTAGTAATTATTTTTGTTAATAACGTGATTACCACGTGTTGTATCGCCACGCGTTATATCGCCACTTATTAAATTTCTACCTATGAGAATTTCTACGTGTTTTATCACTATATGTGATAATTACTGTGCGTTACAATTGCGACGCAGTGTATTACTACGTTTTGAATCACGACACACTATAATTACTACGCGTTATATCGCCACGAGTTAAATTGCTATCCATGAGAATTTCTACGCGTTGAATCTGCATGCGTGAAATTTACTATGCGTTGTAATTGCTATGACTTGTATCACTACGCATGGTATCACTACTCTTTATAATTGCCACGCGTTATATCGCCACGCATTAAATTTCTACCCATGAGAATTTCTACGCGTTGAATCTCTATGCGTGAAAATTACTATGCGTTGTAATTGCTATGACTTGTATCACTACGCATGGTATCACTACTCTTTATAATTGCCACGCGTTATATCGCCACGCATTAAATTTCTGCCCATGAGAATTTCTACGCGTTGAATCTCCATGTTTAATCATTACTATGCGTTATAATTGCTACGAATTGTATCACTATACATTGTGTCACTACTCCTTGCAATTGCCTCGCGTTATATCGTCACTTATTAAATTTCTACCCACAAGAATTGCTACAAAAAAAATCATCACTATAACATGGTCAATATTAAAATATTTCACAGGTATCGACATTTCAGTATTAAAAATATAATCACAATATTTTACAATAGTCACTAAATATTAAGAATATTGAAACATTATATATGTATATATTAGTCATATGAAATCGTTAATAATGTGTTACTGTATGCATGGAAGTGTATGTGGTAAGGAATACTATAAGTACCTTACCGTGTCGTGAAAGTCATCCTCCTTCACGTTTCTGCAATCCTGAGACCAGAGTGGCGCCATGTGGTCAAATGAGAAAGCAAACGAAACAAGTGGGGGTTGAAACACACCTTGAAGGGCAAGCAATTCAATTTTACACCTACGTGACTTACAAACACGAGGTTATACGGTACAAACATTTTTTATTACTGTTCCAATCCACTGATCGTACGATAACTTTAACTTTCAAGACTTCACTGTTTTCTCATTTCTACATACTTTGTTTGAACAAATGCATAATTTTGCGCAAATGTATTCTTTATTTCTTTTGTTTATATATTTACATTCTGATAATTCTTTATTGAAGATTCATTCGTTCAGTTAACGATTTAATAGGTTGGAGAAATTTATTATTAATGTAGACATCTATTTTTCTTATTAATAATTAAAGTACGTATAGTGTATGTATGTTTATGTATATCATTTATTTATACCTATATGGTGATTAATATTGAAATGTTTTACTGTACAAGTTAATTTTATACATAGTTAATTTCAAGTTGAAAATTATGGAGGTTATGATAAGGGGATAAGGATTATACCGATTTTGACTTTGTTATTAAAAATTGAAATATGGTTGATTTAAACCTGCCGCCTTGTGAAGTGTAAATAGAGAGGTTCAGACATCTGGGGGCGTAGCTCAGATGGTAGAGCGCTCGCTTAGCATGCGAGAGGTACCGGGATCGATACCCGGCGCCTCCAAAATACTTTTTTTTATTTACTTCCAATTTTTATTTATCTCAATCACTTTCGTACTCAATAATCATAAATAATACACAATCTAAAGACACTCATATTTTTCCCCCCAAAAAAAGAAATTATAAATCATTCATAATTCATAACTTAATAAAATAATATTATTTCATATAACTTAATGGTACTCTCTCAACTTAAGTACTTCACAAATACTCTCTCCAAAGGACTCTATATTTAATACTTCCTAATTATTAATTATGAATCATATTTATTAATATTAATATTTATTATATTTTAATTAATTTTATTCAACTGATTGTAACATGTAACATGACATTGTATAGTCAAGAAGAAAGACAAATTGTTCAGTTCTCATGCAAGTTCTCGTGCAAGAATGAATCGAAAATTATGAATGAATAAATTGCTGCATGAATGGGAAGTGACCAGTCACGTGATCAGTAGTGGAGTAACGTAGCTTGTGTGTACGCGAGTAGAATACATAGCCAGGTATGTATAGCGTTTAGACGTTCTTCATGGCGCTATCCTAAGCTCGTTTAGCTCCTCTGTCCACCTCTTCGTCGAACCTGTTTCCCGGTTGATTCTAAACCATGATTTACCAACAACTGGCAGAGAAACTAGTGCTAGTTAGTCGTCCACGTACTCTAATCCCGTTCCTAATCCGCGCGTTCTCGTGTTCTCAACGCCCTTGCATAACTTTCCTTCTCATTCGCCGCGCTATTATTCACGCTACGATTTATGCAAATGATACTATCTTCATAATTATCGAACACGCAATTTAACATCATTAATTTGTTTATAAGTAAAAGTAAATTTATAAGAAAATATGCGAATGAGGAAATATTTTTTGAAGCATGTAATATGTGTACATGTGTGTATGTGTGTATGATGTATACATTTTTGTATGATTAAAAATCACCTTGTCGATTTTATTAACCTTGATGTATGTCATGAAGGTCAAACTGTATGATTTTATTTACTGTTCACACTTAATTATGAAAATATGTACAGAGTTATTTTAAACATTAATTATTGACAGTAGTGATCTAACGATAGCACAAATTTAATTTTATATTTTCATCATTTTTTAAACTTTGAAATTTTGTTTTAAATATTACAGTATAACCTATGAAAATCTTGTGGTGGAAGAGGATGAAATTAATCCAAATGCATAACTTTAAATATATGTTATGAATAATTAAAAAATATTTATTAAAGTTTGTTGTTAATAGAGACTGAGGAATTCAAGGATTATAAAGAATATGGTTATTTGACGTTCGTATTGGAACTAAAGATGAAAATGTTATTTATATAATTTACAAAATGTTAACGGTTAGGTTAACAAATTGCAGGATATGGTGTACACCCTTACTAAATTCTGTGATCCTGGTTCTTACCCTGAACTACGTTCTCAGAGCTATTGTTTGGACGCGGTCAAGCGTCCTTTCAAAGCATCCTGTGTGACCACTACATTTTCACAGGAAATAGCCTGAAACCTCACAGATACTGCAATTCCACCGACCTCTGCTATTTCCACCTATATTCAATAATATTTAAACAGTAAAACTCTTTAGTCAGTAAAAAGTTTAGTACACTCTTTAAATACCTTAAAAATTTCTTCAAACAACTTAAAAAAACTATTTTAACTAGCAAAATAATTTCTATGAATATAAAAAACTATTTGGACCATAAATAATTATTTAGGTGTAAAACTGAAATGGAATGAAAAATAATTTGGTTTTCAAATGCAATACAAAATTTATTATTTTTTTTAATCCAAGAAAATCTTGGGTTAGAAATATAACACACAATGTATTTAAATTAAATTTTTATAGTACAAGTCACTTGTCTATCAATTTTATTTTTACATATATAAAGTAACTATTATGTTCAATAATAAATAAATATAAATACAATAATATATTACATATAAATATAAATATAATAATGCACTATATACAAACACTATTTTATTCAACAACATATCCAGTTTAAAAAAAAAACATGCCTTTAATTATAACAAAATAAAATAAAATAAAACTCTCCTATGAAAATTCAACAATTAATCTCCAGTTTAATAATTAATTTACCAACAAATAAAAATTAATTCAAAACTTTTAAATCAACCAAAACAATCAAATTTCATATTCCATCAAACAACCAATAGTTCCAGTACATCAATTTTGCTTGCACCGTTTCGTTTCTCAAGAGGGTTTTTCAACCCCATTGCCCCAGTTAGGGTTGCGTAATCCCAGAATAAAAGGAAGACCGTTACATACAGACACATCATGCAACCCCTTTTGCTTCCTGTTCTCCTGTTGCTCCGCATGTTTTTTCTTTGTTCAACCTTTCAAAATTTACCACCCTTTATTACGAGCATTCGTATTCATGCCTCGTACGCCTACTTGCATAAACGTCTCTTCCTAAGGCCACGCATAACCTGTACAATTACGTGTACGGAGTACAGACGTACAAAAGCGATAGCAAACACGTCCTGCAACCCTAATAATGCGTGTGTAGATAAGGTGACGTAATGTGCGTGACACGTGTACCTGTCGTGAATAAAAATTCTGTTATAGTAGCTTTCCATAGGCTGTGGATTTGTGTTTGCGAGAGTACTTGATCGTTTTAACGCGGTCGTTGTCTTGATATTATCTGATATTGTTATTAGTGATCATGATAAATTAATATTTAGGGGATGATAATGGTATGGTACTTGCAAGATTATTAGTTGAGTAATTGCAATTATGACTAGTTTTAGTGGTATATATACTTGTGGTACTTATGGATGTTCCTATTGTGGTGTATTACTGAAATGTATATAAATTGTTCTAATGTAGGTTTTTAGTTTCTGAATTTGAAGAATGTAATTTAAATGAAATTTTGGAATTTTCAAATTTTCAAATATACATATAAGTTTCCATGACTCAAATTCTCAAATTTCCAATTCCTCAAAGTTCAAAATTCCCACGTCCCAAAATTCTCACATCTCCAAATCCCTATATTCCCAAATTCCCACTTCCCCAAATTTCCACGTTCCCAAATTCCCCACGTCCCCAAACTCCCACGTCCCCAAATTCCCATGTTCCCAAATTCCCATGTTCCCAAATTTCCATGTCCCCAAATTCCCACATCCCCAAATTCCCACGTCCCCGACTCAAATTCTCAAATTTCCAATTCCTCAAAGTTCAAAATTCCCACGTCCCAAAATTCTCACATCTCCAAATCCCTATATTCCCAAATTCCCACTTCCCCAAATTTCCACGTTCCCAAATTCCCCACGTCCCCAAACTCCCACGTCCCCAAATTCCCATGTCCCCAAATTCCCACGGCCCAAATTCTCACATTCCCAAATCCCTATATTCCCAAATTATCACACCCCTAAATTTTCACATTTCCAAATCCCCACAACCCGAAGTTCTCACATCCCCAAATTCCCACATCCCCTTTCCACGTTCCCAAATTCCCACGTCCCCAAATTCTCACATTTCCAAATCCCTATATTCCCAAATTATCACACCCCTAAATTTTCACATTTCCAAATCCCCACAACCCGAAGTTCTCACATCCCCAAATTCCCACATCCCCTTTCCACGTTCCCAAATTCCCACGTCCCCAAATTCCCACGTCCCCAAATTCTCACATTTCCAAATACCTACACCCCCAAATCTCTACACCCCCGAATTTCTACATTCCCAAATCCCTATATCCCCAAATACCTACCTCTCTACATACCTACATCCAAAATTGCCTACACTCACAAATAACCAACAAAGGATATCCCTCAAGACACCCAAAATGGCAGAAGAAGAAAGTTCCAAGAAACATATGAGAGGGACAAAAGGAAATTGTCAGTGTGTCAGACAGAAGCAAGGAAGTAATTTCCAAGAATTGGTTTAACGTACCTGGAGGATTCTCGTTGTTTATGCGTCCCTTGCACAGTTGGACCGCAGTCAGGCTTTGGCCTCGCCACCAAAAAGGAGGAAAGGAGGAGCCACAGGAGCAAAGCTGAGAGATCATGCTTTCCCGATAACTCACGTTCGTGCAGCAGTGCGTGAGCCTAACCAGTCTGCTAAGTTATGGTGAAACCGCGTACGAGTGTACAGTGTCGGCTAAAACTCAATTAACTTCGAAATCAGTCGAGTTGAGTTGATTCGATTGTCTGTGATGGCTGATGCGCTTTAGTAAGGTTGGGAAGATAATTGTAACACAGTGGTGGTAGAAATTTATTGTCATATGTGTAGTTAACTTATTAAAATATACTCAAATTGTTGAATGGTACATAATTAGGGTTTTGAATTCTTGGGGATCTGTGAAGAAGTGTATATGTCAATTTATTTTCATGAAGACTATTATCTTCAATTTCCTTTTCTGTTTTTTGAGCTGTAATTTTCTGAGATGTTGAAGTGTGTGATAATATACTAAAAGTCATGTAGATGATTGCAAAGATTTGTAAATAGATATAAATGTTAGTTATGTATATTATATGAATTTAATTTTGAAAGGAAGCTTGTGGAGATCTGTTTTAGAGGTGTGACCTCTATAAATTATGGATATCACTTTCGACATTTTTTAAGTATCTACTTCAAACATCCATCAATCTCTTTAATTTAACTTTTCTCAATATTATCTGAAATATATAATTTTTAAAATAAGTTTGACAAATAAGGTATTATTCATTGAATATTAAAGTTAATCATACATAAAATTATTGAACCCTCAATTTTATTATTTGGAAAAATTGTATTATTTGTCGTTGATGTTATTTTTGAGAATCTTGTTTCTATAGTGTCTAAACTTTTCGTTGATGCTGTATATTGTATAAAATAGGTATGCTTACGTGCGTCCTGCATGTATTTGAATATGAAACACATGGGATGTGGTCGGGCCCTTTGAACACTCCCTATGGGGGCTGATACCTTGGTAAGGCCACGCATTGCCCCTCAGGCCCTTTATCCCTACAAATTCCACGTAGCACTATACAATTGACTATATTCATACAATTATTTCCCCTTCGTCACTTTCTCCATTTTGTAAAGTTCTCCAATTCTGATAATAAATAGATTATAATACAAATTTATTTTAAAAAAAAATTGTAAATTTCCGAATTTTTATGAAGTTGAAATATTGGACTCATGTGGCAGTAATGTGTAACAGAAACTATAAAAAAAATTACGTATATCGAATAATTAAATTATGGATGCATACATGTTCATCATGTATCAAAATCTACAAGGTAAACCTAAATTATCTAAACCTAAATCATTCATTAAATCTAATATAATTCCCAAATTATATACTTCACTCTACGTCCATATACCATATATGCAACATTATTGCATATGTCCACATATGCAGCTCACTGATAAAAATACCTATTGACATTTTTTATATTATTTCAAATAACTTATAAATTGTTCTATCTATCTAACTATAGTTCTAATTACCCCACTATTATGTACTCCAAACAGAAATGTACCTATATTTCCTACAAATCAACACAACATTTTTAAAAATATTTACCATATATTAAACATTCCGTCACATGTGATACAAAAGTCAAAGTATCGAAGCTCTCAGATAAGATACCACAAAATGCAAGAAAATCTGACGGTTCATAAACACGGAAATCCGAACACGCAAGAAGCGGGAGTTCATAAGAAAAAAAGTCACTAGTGACACGATCACTGTTACGTTACGTTCGAACCATTGCCATTCGATTTTACCCGCGTCAGCCACTACTCCCACGCCTCGATCTCTTTCGTTTGATGCTTTCCTGGTAAAAATTCTCGTTCTCTATTGTTCCACCCTAATTAATGTCTGCAACAACGGTCTACGCCCCTCACCGTCGTACAGATAAGTCCCTGGGTATCATGGGTCCCTGATAACCGGCGCTGTCACTTATCCAATATCTGTGAGCAAAAAATGGTCATTGACCACGAACGATGCAAGATGAATGGGTTTCTTCGTGCTGTACGTGTATACTGTGTGCTTTTTGCTATATTTGCACGTCTCGCAACGCAAATGCACCTTTCACTATATCGATACTTAACCTACTTCATATATTGTATTTTATATATTTACATTTAATTATATTTTTATTTAAAATTAGGGTGTATTGATTATATTATTTTTTGGAGAAAGAGTCACTTTTCTGTATAAATTGTAATATTTCTTTATGATATATTATAATTATTTTTTGTTTTCGACTAATCTAACCTTACTGAAGTAATCATAACCTAATTCTGACAACATTTGACTGGGTCTGTGTAACAATTTATTCTGACAGTAATTTAATTTAACGATGTAAATATGATCTAACATAACCTATATTTCATCATATTCGCCAATTGAAACTGTCTGCAACCTAACCTAACTCCAAGGTCCTCGTTCAATATTCAAGTTCTGCTTTTATGTAGAATAGTAAGTAGTATTTAATTAGCAAATAATTAATGTAATCTTCAATCAGGAAATATTGATTTTGGTTTTAGTTATCATACCATAACTACCAAATTATTAGTTCTATAAAACTATTTATATAATCATTACCAAAATTACCATCAAATAATAACTAAAATTATTACTGAAATTATTAGCAATTTTCTGATTACAAAAACTGTGTTACAATAAAATTATGTTACAAAAAAACCATTCAGATAATTTTATACAAAGACCCCAGTAAAAAATCACTGAAATTTGCAAAAATTAACACAATACACATAAATAAATGATAAAATAAATATGACAAAAATAGTTAACTTCGTTTGCTACGTTTAATTTGTAAACGAGATATTTCGAACGCAAATCACCTCGAGGCATAAAAAGTATCCTCGATTACAAATGCGCGGCAATAAATCGCATTATCGAGCGGAACGATAACGAGGGCACGTTGAACAAACACTCTCGATACACACTGGCAAAGCAGCATTTTTTTTTTTTAAATACAAAACGTCGCATCGCGTATCAGGTTAACACGAAGCGAGTAGGTGAACTTTACAAATGTAACGCGGCTAGCTTATCGGTAATACATCGCTGTACCTTCTGTTTTCCTGTGTAATTGCAAACTTTACTTTGTTTGCAACGATTTGTTGCATCCCGTTGCCAAACGTACAAAATCGCTAACGCGTGAACTTTTGCAACGATCGACCCGCTTTCCTACAACAAATTCCGAACAGGGTTACACATACATTTCCCGCTTGTAAATCGGAATTGTTTAAACCATTGCAGCCTTCATTTTGCAATACAAAAATCAGATACTGTGGTACAGATACTATACTACTATATCGTATCTATTCAAGTATCTATTCAAATCTAGGATGCAAGAATACCGTTGGATGTAACGAATTTCCTGCAGGCCTACCCGCAATAAAATCATTCCCCGAATGTTTAACACCTCCATGTAACCATTGACAATGGAAAGTATGGACAGAACCATTGCTAGAGCTTCCTACGTTCCTAATAACCGCGTGTCTCTTCTGTTCTAACCCATTTCTTTCCATGAATGGTTTCCGCTTTCATCTCGTCACCTCCTTCGCCACGTGGAGGTGTTCCCCTCTTTCAAACGTTTACCACGTCATGATCGAACATTAATTCATTGAAGCGAACCAGAATAAACTCCTGCAATGTTGATACTTCTCTAATATCATGGCAACCGGCGCAGACCACCTCCTTGCTGTCGTTTAATCTCTTTGGCAAGTTTGCTTTTTTTTCGACGAAGAATTTTGCAAATTTCTATTCTAATCGTGGGTGCCTTTCTTGCGTTAGTTTTGAGATCGATGATAGTGATGGATATTTAACGTTTTTTGAGGTTATTTTTGGGGGAAGCTTATTAGGATCATTGTTGGCAAGGATGATTTGTTACAAGATGGTGGACGAATAGGTAGGTTAGGTAGATTGCATATGTATAATGTTTGGGGTTGTGAATTTTGGTGGAAGTGGAACATTTTGATGGTTTTCATGGTGGTTTTTGGAATTTAACGAAAAGAAATGAGATTTTTGTATTATATATATCACTGAAAGATACTCTGTATATTATGTCATTGTTGCAATTTATTTTTTGATAAAATTTGTGGTATTTTATGCTCTGCTACAATATTCTTACTACACTAATAACTTCAGTACTTTATTTAAACAAGTTTGTTATTTTTTATTTTTTCAATATTTTATTATTCTATTTTATGTTTAAATTTCTTTACTGTTTTAGTATTCTGCCATTTTGTTGTTCTACTATTTTAGCATCTTACTATATTTCTGTCTGAATATTTTACTTCTTACTGTTTCATTATCATTCCACAATTTTTGTCATTGTACCATTTTACTATTTTTTACATTTTATCATCTTAAAATTCATTTTATTACCTTACCATTTAAATACTTTACTATTTTATTCTTTTATTACTTTACAATATTACATTGTTACAATATAATGTAATAATTCTATCATTTTATTATTTCATAGTAGACTTACACCATCAAATGCAGAATAACAATTGTGTAATACAAAGCGTCGTTAAATACAAAACACCGCACAAAATTTTACGACTCCCCATAACTCTCCATCATAACGTGAACAACCACGTGTTCGTAGTTCATTTGTACCTACACATGGCCACTTGTAGCTCCCCCGAAGTTTCAAAGGCAGCTGCATGAAACCCCCATAGCGAAACAGGATCCTCGTCGATGACTGTGTCGTGACTGCTTTAATGAATAACTGGAACAGCACCCTTCGCAGGGGTTGAAAATTACCCCCTGCAACCTCGTGTTATCCTGCTACCGAACCGCCCTTGTTTTCCAATAAATACAAAGTGTGCGACTCGTAGCGGAGCAGTTAACAAAACGAGATTCCTTTCGCACCCTTCAGAGGGTGAGACTCATTAGCGGAGAGACGCATTGGAAACCGATAAGACGTTATCGGAAATATTGGGTATACCAACTGGGGTTGATGAGACCCTGCTCGATTTCCGGTTCAGTTTCCACCGAGCGTGCGAACGGTCGCGTTCGATTTATCGATTCTCTCGGGAGTGAGAGGCAGTGACGGACGAATGTGGGGGACGAGGGGGCGACTTTCATGGAGGGAGTGAAGATTGTGGGATTTTTTTTAGAGGGAATGATATTTTGGGAAATTTAGAATTTGGAAATTTGGGAATTTAGGGACTTGAGAATTTGAGGATTTGGAAATTTAAGGACTTGAGAATTTGGGGGTTCAAGGAGTTGAAGATTTGAGAATTTGAGGATTTGGGGATTCGAGGATTTGTGGATTTGGGGATTTGTAGATGTGGAAAATTAAGAATTTAGAGACTTGAGAATTTGGGGGTTTAGGGATTCAAAGATTTTGAGCATTTAAAAGTTTGAGAATTTGAGGATTTGGGGATTCGGGGATTTATGTATTTGGGGACCTCAAGATTTGGGGATTTGTAGATTTGGAAAATTAAGAATTTAGGGACTTAAGAATTTAAGGCTTTAGGGGTTTGAAGATTTCGAGCATTCGAAAGTTTGAGAATTTGAAGACTTCAGAATTTGAGCATTTGATGACTCAAAATTTGTGGACTTGGAACCTTGCAGACTCGACAATTTGTAAATTAGAAAAATTAAAAATTTAAGAACTTAAAAATTTGCAACTTCAAGGATTCCAATATTTGACCATCCGAGAATTTAAGAATTTAAAAAGAAATGATTCTAAAATAATTTGAGAAATATTTGAAAAATCAAAAATCATTTCTCATTCCCTCAACATGGTTCTCCCCCCCAAAAATTAAGGGGTGTTAAAAAATGAAATTCGCCATCAATCCGACCCTGACCAGGATGAACGAGACCTCTAGTTCTCGTATACAACCCCATTCCGTGAACCAATCGGGAATTCCTATTCCCGATCGTCGAGCACCCTGTATTTATTGACTATCGAACTTCGATACGCACCCCTGCGCTGTTGATGAACTCTCAATACTTCAAGTTCTCTCAAGATTTGCTTCGACGTCGTTTATCTTACGCCGACACCTTGAATCGATCTGACGTGACATACAAGGTAATAGTAAATAATTAATGCAATTTTTGTTGTACTTTTATTATCATTTTTTAATGATGAAATTGAATGTATGTATATGATGTACTGTTGAACGTTTGTGTTATGTTCTTCAAGTTGCTTCGGGTATACAGTAATGAGGGTTGAGTAATGAGGGTTGAAGTTAGGGTTGAATATTTAAATGATGGTTTAAGAAATTCCATGTTATGTTTCTTTTAAGTTATGTTTTATTTGTTAATAAACGTGATGGTGAAGTGATTATAAGTAAGGACATGTATACATAATTTAGGAGATGTAATTAGGAATGTATTTAGGGATATAATTAGGGGAAGATATAATTATAATAAATAATTAATTTTTTTTTATTATTGCTTTAGAAATGAATACGTGTATTTTAGATGATCCTTCATAAAATTATCTTCTACTTTCCTCAAGTAGAATGTATTAAAATAACAGGGTACAAGAAATTCTGAATAATTTAATTTTTTAATAAACTTAGTGCAGCAAAATAATTTCTTGATCTACTACTCTTGTTTCATATCAATGTATTTAATTTATAAATATACTTAGACAATTTCAAGAAAATATAACTGGAAAATTAGGGTGATTTTCTAATCACTCAGAGATACTTTTTTTTATAAAAGTATAATTGGAAAATCAGGATGATTATAAAAACAGTAATATTAAAAAATCAGATCTTCAAGTGTCAACAGCTCTATCATGATTCGAATAAATATCATGATTCTGTCTGAAGATTATCTCTCCTATTAATGATTCTGTAACCCTGTTCAAGAGGTAACACCATTGGCAAACCTCCTTGTCACATTCGTTTCCAATCAGTAAATCTCTTTCGTTACTTTCACTTCAGGACGTATTCTCAACACTGTTACACATTTTTAACGTATAATTCAATGCACACAACTTCTCATTGTGATGACAATTTATAGATTTCATTTTTGCAAATACATTCATACTTGCAAACACTAGTGTCTTAAACCTGATTCAAATTATGAACGAAAAAGAATTCATTGAACATCAAAACATTTGTAAATAGAATACTTAGAACACTTTCGACTG